GGTTGGAGCGAGCGAGCGTTGGGGTGTCTTTGGCAGTGTGGTGCTGCTCTTGCAGGTTCTCCCCCAGCAGTTCGGGGGCCTCCGGGAGAGGCGCCTCGTCGACTCGGCCGGGTTCCATGCGGGAGAGGCGAGGTCGAGGGGACGACTCGAGGGGGGAGAGAAACGGGCCGCCACGAAAAAACAACAGGTCGGAGGTTGATCGACCTCCTACCCTGACGCGTCGATTAGCGAATGGGCTGTTTTCGGTTCGCGAGAGGGCGTCGCGGCCGTCATTGTTGCGGGTCCAGGTCCGTCGGTTTCGGTCCAAGGCAGTTTTCACTAAAGGGTGGTTTACTAAAGGGAGGTTTGTCCACCGCCGAATGGGACCGCCGAGGAAGATGGAGTCTCGGAGTGTCGTCCTCGCTTTCGGCATCCAGGGGCCTCTCCCAGGCCCGGAGCTCCGTTTTCTGGACGCAGCAAAGAACCATAACCAAAACCACATTTAGTTGGACTTTTCGAGAGGCCCTTGGGGGGAGAACCCACCGACCTCGGCATGACTTTGGTTGTGGTTGTGGTCGATTTGGCCGTCCTGCGACGCCACGTCGAGCACCGCCAGCTCTAAGATGGGTTCGGCGCTCCGACGACCGTCAGCATGCGCGGGGCATCCCCAGGGTGTCTTCTCGATGTGGTTGCGGTCGCTTGCTGTTCCCGCGTTGATTGACTGCGACGACCAGGGGGTGGCGCGAGTGGGGGCGGCTTCCTGAGAAAGCGGCGCTGCTTCTAGGCGGGCGGTTTCTCAGAAGCCCCCCAGGAGGAGGTTGAGGAGGAGGAGGAGGAGGAGGAGGAGGAGGAGGACCAAGAGGAGGAGGAGGAGGAGGCGGAGGAGGAGGAGGAGGAGGAGGAGGAGGAGGAGCCCCAAGAGGGGGCCTCGCCTTCGGCGCGTCTCCCACTGGCTTCCGGGAAGGCCTTTGTCGGAGGCTGCCATGGGCCCTTCCGAGAAGGTCTCCGGCCTCCACGGGGCCCCATTCGCCTTCTCAGAAGCCCCCGCGCGCCGGGCCCTCGTGGGCGCCGCTGCGTCGGGGGGGGGGGGAGGTCGCCCACGGGGGGGGGGGCAGCGAGAGTCCCGTGACCGCACCTCTGGGCCTAGGCCTGCCCTTCTCGCCCCCACCGTCGCTCATCCACCAGGGGGCTTGGCATCGTTCGGACGCGTGCATTTTTCCTTCGGCGAGGGCCATCGAGGAGCATCCTTGATCATGTGGCGAAAAAACCACGCACGACACCGAAGAAAACACAGGGAATGGACGTCCGAGCGATGGCCAGAGGGGGGGGCAGCGAGAGTCCTGTGACCGCACCTCTGGGCCTAGGCCTGCCCTTCTCTACCCCCACTGTCGCATCCATCCACCAGGGGGCAGACGGGGGCGGGGCCGCCCACGGCTCTGATCGGCTCGACGATTCCGGATGCAAGTCTTGGGACGGCAAGATCTCAGGAGGGGGAAAAAACACAGACACAATTCTTCACGCTTCGCGTATCCCCACCAGCCCATCTCAAAACAGCAACTCTAGCGAAGCATGCCGACAGTCGTGTTTTTCAGGCGTGTTTCCGCCTGCCCCCGCATATCTCCCCTGTTCCTCCTTCCTCCCGCCTCCTTGTACATCCTCCTTGTGGTGGGAGCGGGAGAAGGACGAGGCGGAGGAGGAGGGAGAGAAAGCGCTCCTCGTGGTTTGAGTCGTTCGGGTTTCTCGTCCTGGTGTGAGTCGTTCGGGCCCTTCTTCCTGGTGTGAGTCGTTCGGGCTCTTCGTGGTGTGAGTCGTTCGGGCTCTTCGTCCTGGTGTGAGTCGTTCGGGCTTCTCGTGGTGTGAGTTGTTCGGGCCCCTCGTCCTGGTGTGAGTCGTTCGGGCCCCTCCTCCTGCCCGTCCAGAAACGACGCCCAGGCGAGTAGAGGGTCGTCCTGATGGGCTTTTCGGCGTCTTGGGTGCCTCGGGGGGGCCTCTTTGGGCCGTTTGGGATCCTCTTGGGGGCCTCCTGGGGGCCTCTTGGGGCCATCTTGGGGCCTCTTGGTGCCTCCTGGGCGCTTCTTGGGGCCATCTTGGAGGACATCGATCAAAGAAGAAGGGAGCTTTAATTAGCGCTGCCCCCTCAGAAGACCAAAATGGGGCCAAAACCTTAGTAAAATCAATGATGTTGGCTTGAAAGAAGAGGGGAGCTTTAATTAGCGCTGCCCCCTCAAAAGGCCACAATGGGGCCAAAACCTTAGTAACATCAATGATTCTGGCTTCAAAGAAGAGGGGGGCACTTTTCTGCCTCCCCCCGTCGGGGCCAGAATCCTCATGAGGGGTGTCGTTTTTTAGCCCTCCCAGGAGTCGAAAAAGACCCCTCCAACGACCCGCGGGGCGCCCTCTCCAGGCCCAGGGGGAGGGGGTAGGGGGAGGGGTAAGCCCCTCCCCGAAGGGGAAGAAGGGGGTTGAGAACAGAGCGGGTTCTCTAAACCACTCACGCCCAAAGGGCGAGGGGGAAAAACACAGACACAATTAATCGTCGATCCCCCAGAAAATATGGGAAACTATGGGGAGTGGGGGGGGGAAGGCTGAAACCCGGAAACTATAGGAAAATATGAGTGATATGTTTATGTGTGCGTATTTATCTTAACGGCTGCCGCCTCTGCCGCCGACCCCAGATAATCTTGAGTGGGGCGGTCGTTGCTGATGCGGGCGACAGATCGCCAGCTTCAGGACAGGGGGAGAACGTCTGTCTTACCAGGCGTGGGAGGCCCCGGGGACAAGGGTTAGGGTAAAGGAGCCCGCACGTTTGGTGACCTCGGCAGGGTCGGAAGATTCTTGAAGAGAAAATAGGGGCAACGAACAACGCCGTCGATATGGGAATCTGGGGCAAGGAGGAGGAGAAGGAGGAGGAGGAGAGGAGGAGGAAGAGGACGAGGAGGAGGAGGCGGATGATGAGGAGGAGGAGGAGGAGAAGGAGGAGGAGGAGAGGAGGAGGTGGAGAGAGGAGGAGGAGGAGGAGGGCAAGGAGGAGGGGGAGGAAAGGAAGAGGAGGAAGAGGAGGAGAGGGAGGAGGAGGAGGAGGAGGAGGAGGAGGGAGGAGGAGGAGGAGGAGGAGGAGGAGGAGAGGAGGGGGGGGGAGGAGGAGGGAGGAGGAGAGGAGGAGGAGGAGGAGGAGGAGGAGGAGGAGAGGAGGAGGGGGGAGGAGGAGCAGGAGAAGGTGGGAAGGAGGGAGGAGGAAGGAGGGAGGAGGAGGAGGAGTAGGAGGAGGAGGAGGAGGAGGAGGAGGAGGAGGAGGAGGGAGGAGGAAGATGCAGGAGGAGGAGGAGGAGGAGGGAGGAGGAGGAAATGGAGGAGAAGGAGGAGGAGGGAGAGGAGTAGGAAGAGGAGGAGGCGGAGGAGGAGGAGGAGGAGGGGAGGAGGCGGAGGAGGAGGAGGAGGAGGAAGAGGAGGAGGAGGAGGAGGAGGAGGACGAGCAGGAGGAGAGGAGGAGGAGGAGGACGAGCAGGAGGAGGAGGAGGAGGGGGTCCAGGTGGGGGGCGTGGGTAGGTTCTGGGCCAGGAATTGTCGAGTGGGGGGTCCCAAGAACAGAGTTCTGCCAGGGTGGGAATGCCAGGCCAGGAGGGGGTCCAGGTGGGGGTCGTGGGTAGGTTCTGGGCCAGGAATTGTCGAGTGGGGGGCCCCAAGAACAGAGTTCTCCCAGCGTGGGAATGCCAGGCCAGGGGAGGGTCCAGGTGGGGAGCGTGGGTATGAGTGATATGTTTATTTGTGTGTATTTATTTGCGTTTCCTGGGGCCCCTTCAAAGATCGGCATCGGCGCTGGCATGTCTGTAGTCGGGAAGCTGCGGAATCCCGACGAGCCCAGCTTAAGTACTCTGTGTCCCTCGATAGTTTTGGGGGTACCTGTAGTCCGGGGGGGGCACCTATAGTACCTATAGTCGGGGGGGGGTACTGTAGTGGGGGGGGTACTGGTAGTCGGGGGGGTACTTGTAGTCCGGGGGGGGGGGGGGGCCTGGGGGGGGGCGCGCATGGGGGTACTTGTAGTCCGTGGGTGGGGGGGCATATGGTCATGCCTCAAAGCACGCGTGGTTCCACGCACGCGGGTGTTTAGTACTTACGCGCGCGGGACTTCGCGCGCATCGTTGCACATCGTGGCCCAACGATGGCGAATTCCTAAGTGAAAATGTGCGGACGCATCTTGGCGGGCCGCTTTGGCTTCCAGAGACTACGTAGCGAACGCGGGGGGGCTTGTAGTTCCGGGGGCTAGGGGGGTACCTGTAGTCCGGGGGGGGGTACCTGTAGTCCGGGGGGGTACTTGTAGTCCGGGGGGGGGTATCTGTAGTCTGGCGGGGGGGTACCTGTAGTCCGGGGGGGGTACCTGTAGTCCGGGGGAGGGGTACTTGTAGTCCGGGGGGTACCTGTAGTCCGGGGCCCCAGAACTTTTGAGGGACACAGAGCACATGGCTTTTGATCTGGGCAGCCCAGCTCAGTGGCCCCCCAATCTGGCTCTGTGTCCCAGGAGCTGCCTCCTACGACCCTCGAGTGGTCGACCAGCCACGTCAGCGCCGCTCCTCTTCGCCCATTCGACGTCGCCCATTTTGGCGCGACTCCGAAGTTCCACAATGACCGACATTGGACAATGGCGGCGCCACCTTGCGGGCAAGGACCCCAAGCCCTGGACATCACTCATCGACAAGGAGACTGCACGACACACTTTTTGGGAGGTTCCTTTTGCCGAGGGCAGCTCTTGCCGAAAGTCCTCATTGTGAACTGTTTTCGCTTCGCTTTACCCGTGTTTTGCCTGAGTCCCTCCATTTCTTCGCCACTCTGTTCATTTCTACTCCGCGAGCCGCCTGATTTCGGGGCGCCTGCCGGACCATGGCGGTCCGCGCCTTGGATGGCCCTTTGCAGCGCGGGCACGGCCAGAACGGGCAGTGACGACGCTGCCGTTCGCGCCGATGCGGGCGGCCCGGGGCGGCGGAACCTACATGATTTGATACGAGAGAGCGTGTTTTGCCGCTGCTGGCAGACAGCCAAGGGGGGTCACTCGGGGTTTCCAGCCCGCCCCCCCCTCCCATCGGAACCGGGGGGGCCACTGGGGGTTCTAGACTCCCCCCTCCCCCCCGGTGCATCATGAAAAAGAGGGCGGGTCACTACCGGTTCGATACCCCCCCTCCCTCTTCGCCGCCAGCTTGTCGACTCCCTCTCCTCATTGGGGACAGTGGGGCAGTGGTGGGGACAACGGGGAGAGTGGGACCGTGGTGGGGACAGTGGTGGGGACAGTGGGGACAGCGCGACAGAGGTGGGGGCAATGGTGGGGACAAGGGGGGCACTGTTGGTGGGGACAGTGGTGCGTGGACAGTGGGACACTGGTGGGGACGGTGGTGATGGGGACAGTGGTGAGGGCGGTGGCGAGGACAGTGGTGGGATAATGGGACACCGGTACAGTGGGACAGTGGTGGGGACAGTGGGACAGTGGTGGGAACAGCGGGGACAGTTGGACACCACAGTTTGACAGCGGCGGGGACACTGGGGACAGTGAGACAGTGGCGGGGGCAGTGGGGACAGCGGTGGGAAAAACGGGGACAGTGCGACAGTGGTGGGGACAGTAGCGGGGACAGTGGGGTCAGTGCGACAGTGGTGGGGGCATTGCGGACAGTGGGGACAGCGGTGGGAACACCGGGGACAGTGGGACAGTGGTGGGGACATTGCGGACAGTGGGACAGTGGTGGGGACGGTGGTGGTGTGGACAGTGTCGACGGGACACTGGGACAGTGGTGGGGACAGTGGAGACAGCGGGACAGCGGTGGGGACGGTGGTGGTGTGGACAGTTGTGAGGGCGGTGGTGGGGACGGTGGTGCGACAATGGAACAGTGGTATATTGGGGACAGTGGTGGGGACACTGGGACAGCGGTGGGGACAGCGGGGACAGTTGGGACAGCGCACTGGGACAGCGGTGGGGGCAATGGGGTGACAATGGTGGGACAGTGGGGAGAGTGGCACTGTGGTGGGGACAGTGGTGGGGACAGTGGTGGGGACAGTGGTGGGGACAGTGGTGGGGACAGTGGGGACAGTGCGACTGTGGTGGGGGCACTGGTCGGGATTGTGGTGGGAACAATGGGGACAGTGGGACAGCGGTGGGGACGGCGGTGGTGGGGACAGTGGTGAAGCGGTGGTGAGGTGGTGGGGACACGGGGGTCGTTTTCCGGCAGCGAGTGGGGATTGGGGGGGTGGGGGTTTCACCGCGGCCCCCCGCTGGTTTTCCCAGGGGGGATGTTCGAACCGGTAGTGGCCCCTCTCGGTTTTCCGGAAAGGGGGAAATGGGACGAATCACAACCAAATGGGACGGATTCCAACAATTTCGGTTTTTTCCCGACAAATTGGGAAATTTGCGATCATATTTCGGTTTCAAGAACATTTTCGGAACGTTTCTTCTAGGTTCCGCACGGAGGCTCCTTAGAGGCTCCCCCAAAAATTCATTAGAGGCTTCCCTAGAGGCTCCTTAGGGGCTTCGGTAGAAGCTCCGTAGAAGCCCCCTTAAGTTCTCAGTGGGAGTTCTGTAGAGGCTTCCTGATAAGTTCCTTCGAGTTTTCGTTAGAAGCTCCTTACGGGTTTCCTTAGAAGCTTCCTTTCCTTAGAAGCTCCTTAGAGGTTTCTTCAGGGGCTCCTTAGAAGCTTCTTAGGCTTCCATCGCAGTTCGTTAGAAGCACTTTAGAGGCTTCCTGAGAAGCTCCTTAGAGGCTTCCTTAGAGGCACCTTGAAGGCTACCGTGGAGGCTCCCTAAGGGTTTCCCCAGAGACTCTTTGGAGGCTTTCGCAGAGGCTCCTTAGAGGTTTCCGTAGAGGCTCCTTAGACGCTTCCCTCGAGATTTCTTTAGAGGTTTTTTTAGAGGCTCCTGAGATTCCAGAGAGATTCCTGCGGGCTTCTTTGGATTCCGACGAATTCCTGCGGGTGGCTTCCCATTGAAGCGTTTCGTGTCCTCCAGGGTTCAAGGGGTCCCCGAAAGCATGAGGGGGTGACCGTGGTCAGTAAATTGTGCCTTCTGCCGCCGCCGCAACTGCGCCCCCGCCCTCCGCCGCTTAGAATATTCACTTGCACGCCGCTGCTCATGCAGCAGTTGCTTCTTGTATTCGCACAGTGGTGAGCGAATGCTGTCGCACGACCCCTTGCCGATGTTCTCCAATTTGACGTCGCCGATGCTTCGCTGACGCCGCCGATGCAGCTGCGATGCGTCGCTTTTGCGGCGCGATCCTCCGATGTTTAGAGAAGCAATTACGAGGGCACTGTCAGAGTTTTCCGAGCATCTGTAAGGACACCTGGATTCCAGGACGGATGAAGGAAGTTGTATCAGATGTGTAGTTCTGTCTCTTCCTATTTCCGTCAACTAATTTTGGCAACAACCAATTTTTGCTGCCGCTGCTTTTTTCATTGGTCCCCCGTTGGGGGGCACAGGGTCGAACAGGGGGGGATTTTCGGAAGGAAAGGAGGACCCCCAGGCTCCGGAGGAAGAGTGGGGGGCATTTCCCAGAGCAAAAATCAGTGGATCACGCTCTGTCTCTGCTACGCAGCAACGCCACCTGGAACGCCTGGATATGTCATGGTGCAGCAATTGCGGCCCCCAGCAGCATCCGGCCTTGACATCTTCTGGCGGCGCACCAGGGTTGCCCACAGCTTCGATCGGTTCAATGATGTGCACCGATGCCTGCGCGTGAGCATCGATGAGTTCGACCTGCGCACCCCGCGGGGGCGGCTTTCCCCCTTCACGGATTGCGGTGCTCGGCCCGATCGTCGGCGCGACGGGTGGCGGCGCACGCGGTCTGCCGATCGGCTACGCGGCGCCAGACATGCTTGCGTCGTGATCGAATTCGCGGGAGGTGGTTTTCCAGTTTTCAACTTCTGGGTGCACTCGCCAGGCTGTTGCACCGCCCGATATCGACACGAGATAACCGAACCGGGCAGTTGGTCGAGACGTCCAGGGAGGTCACGTTGTGAAAGAACCACAGCGTCGGGGGTGAGGTACGGGAGGTAGGGGGCGCGCGGGAGGCGGCGATCGGGCGGGTGACGATGGCGAGGGGGCGAGGGACCACAGGTCGCACCGACGGCGACGAATGCACCAGAGCCCGTTCACACCGGACCGCGCCTGGAGTGGAGTGCCCCCAGCATGTCGGCACACACAAGAGTCGTGTGGCATCCAGAATGGATGCGTAGGATCCGGGGGGATGGGTTCAGGGTTCTTGGAGGATGACGCATTGGTGGTGCCCTGATCGCAGTGGTGTTCTTGGCGAGATGTTCGTAGAAGGCGGCGACATATTGGTAGACATGCTAACGAAATTATTCAATGACGTATTGCGGCCAGACACAGAGCCACCGGAGAACTGGAGACAGGCAGTGATCACGGTAATCTTGAAATCAGGTGATGAACGTCTTGCAAAAAACTACAGGCCGATCACCATCGTGCCCGTGCTGTACAAAGTGTTTTCCAGATTACTTTACAATCGTTTGTCGCCAATCTTGGAGAAGGGTCAAAGTCCTGATCAAGCAGGGTTCCGGAGCGGATTCAGTACAGAAGACCATTTATACACTGTTCCAAATTCAAGAGAAGGCGGACGAATTCCAGATTCCCTTGTGGTGCGCGGCGATAGACTTTCAGAAGGCTTTCGACACGGTGGAGCATCAGGCATTATGGAACGCGCTTGCGAAGCAGAGCGTACCTGTTGCGTATATTCACTTGCTTACGAAACTTTACATTGGGCAGACGGGTCGTATTAAAACTGATGTTCTTAGCCGGTCTTTCGACATATCCAGAGGCACCAAGCAGGGCGACCCCCTGAGCTCGCTCATCTTTAACGCGCTATTGGAGGATATTTTCCGGGATGTGAAACAGAAGTGGGCTGATCGAAAGTATGGCGTGGAGCTCGGGTACAGCGAGGCGTCTCGATTGACAAACTTGCGGTTCGCAGATGACGTCTTCCTCGTGAGTCACAGCTGGCAACAAGTCACGCGAATGCTGTCGGACGTACGGAAATCAGCTGCTGCAGTCGGGCTTCTTCTTCATCCAGATAAGACAAAAATCATCACAAATGCGACAAATGGCACCGGAAGGGGAAAAAGAACGCACGCCACAGTTGACGACATGCAGATCGAGATAGTGTCGCTTCTTGACCCGGTGAAGTATTTAGGCAAACACGTGGTCTTTGAAGGACAAGTGGAAGCGGAAATTGAACACCGATTACGACAAGGGCGGAAGGCTTTCATGGCAAACAAAGAAGAACTGACTAACAACAAGTATTCACTAAAATGTCGTATCCGTCTCTTCGAGAGCGTGGTCACGCCTACTGTATTATATGGTTCTTCGAGCTGGACGATTTCTGTTGCAATGGAGCAAAAACTCCAGACGACGCAACGCCGCATGCTTCGCATGATATTTGGTGTTGGGAGACGCCGTACGCAGCACGTGCACGAAGTCGATGCTGAACAACATGGCAGCTCCGGGTCGGTTTCTACATCAGCATCATCATCGTCTTCAGCTTCCTCTTCTTCACGTTCGTCATCATCAACCCGAAATGACATCGAGCCGTGGATAGATTGGATCAAGAGGGCAACTGCAAAAGTGGAGAGCCATATGGTTGAACTTAATATTGGCAACTGGGGAGTCGCCTGGCGGCGCAAAGTTTGGCGCTACGCGGCGAGGCTGGCCGAAATGCCTACGGACAGGTGGGCAGTGAAGGCAACTGTCTGGAACGCGGCGGATTGCCCGAGGGCGAAGGGGCGCCGGCCACACGCGCCCAAAAAACGTTGGAACAAAGAGATTTTACAATTTCTACAGGATGCCGGTCATGATGTCGATGGCACGAACTGGTTTTACATTGCTGCAGACAAGAACATGTGGAAGGATTTGGAGAAAGATTTCTGTTCGCACACGAGGAGTACACGATGAACTGAGGCGCTGCGGCGCCAGTCACCCCAACCCGCGCCGGGACGGGCTCCGCCCGCAGGTGGGTGTCTCTCTCTCTCTCTCTCTGGAGGATGACGCGTCGAACCCCAATCGACCACTCATCGCCCATAGGGCCCGATGGCCCACTCCCGCCTTGGGAACGTGCGGATTCGTTCTCGGGGGCCCATCGCCGATCTGGCGGCGATGCATTGCCGATTCCAGTCTGGTGTGCCCTTCTTGGGCCGGTCCACCCCCAATTCTCCCGTTTCCCCGCAGAACAAACAAGCAGTGGCGAAGCGTCTTGTGCCTATAGGCCTACCAAACAATGTTCTAAGAACCTGTTGTGGTCTGCACGAAATGTTCTTAGAACATTTCTGGCCGGGCCTGTCTTGTTTCAACACATCGGGTTTTATGGTCTACGAACATTGTTTTTGTCCCTAGAACATTTTCGGGTTCTAAGAAGATTGCGTGGTAGGCCTATAGAAGTGCCGGGACGGTCGGTCTCTGCTCAAGAACAAGTGGCATCGTCGACCAGCAGCGACTGGCGGCGGAGGACGCGGGGCCAGGTGCGGGAAGCGGGGCTCTGGCACGCGAGGAGGATCGCGGACGGACGTCTCTGAGCGAGGAGCATCGGGGATTCCTGCTTCGGGCGCAGGGTCGAGGATCAGGCGATATCAAACATGGATTAAGGGGGCGTGGATTAGCGACGAGTCCCGTTTCCATAGGGGTCATCGCGGATTTTCGCCGCCAAACGAGGCGGCGCCGGCCGCATCTTGGGGAGGGCACCTCCCCCGATCCATGGATTTGGCGACCGCGCGCCGAATCCACGGATCGCTAATCCATGTTTGCGCGCCCCCGAGAGGAGGAGGAGGAGGAGGAGGAGGAGGAGGAGGAGGAGGAGGAGGAGGCGGAGGAGGAGGAGGAGAAGCCGGAGAAGGAGGAGGAGGAGGAGGAGGAGGAGGGGGAAGAAGAGGGCCGTGGAGACCTTGGTAGAGGAGGATCGACGGCGATCGGGGTTCCAGCCGTTCTCTTTGCCTTTTTGTTGGGGGGTCGGGGGGTCTCGGGAGACGCTTTTTAACAACAGCGCACAGGGGCGTGGGTTGGGGGGGCGACCTGGGTTGTTTCCCAGGAGCCATCCCGCCATCTGAGCTGCCTTCTCAGATACTGTCGATCCCTTCTAAGAAGCCCCCCCCGCCTCCTTGGAAGGGCCTCCCCTCTCGCCCTGGCCCGCCCCCGCTGAGCGCACCACAAACTGGAAGGCCTGGTAGGGGCTTGGACGCAGCAGCATGCGCCAGGGACGCGCTGCCGTAGCGGAAAGGCTCGTCCTCGCAGTCCTCCAGGCCCGCTATGCTGCCGCGCATGCGAGTGGCCGCCTCGCCTGGGGGCGTGGCGCGCGTGGGCTCAAGCCGAAGAGTCAGAGTGTGCCGAAAGGGGGCAAGATGTCTGCGACTACGGCTTGAGCCTAGGAGGGAGGGAGGGTTAGGAGGAGGGGGGAGGAGCATCGGCACCGGGAGGATGAAGAGGAACGGGGCAGGCAGGAGGCGGGGAGGGTGAGGACGAGGACGGCGGGGGAGCAGCAACAGCGCTGCGCCCGCCGCCCAGCAGACGCGGGTGATGTACGGCCGCGTTGCCAGCGTCTGGTAGTCGTAGTATTTGTTATATGTGGAGTGTGTGTTACCAGCCTGGTACATGTCCCTATCCCTATGCTTGGCACCTCCTCATCACGATGCCAATCTTAGGGATTCCCCCATTTTTTGAGGGCGAATCCCCAAGATTGTCATCGCCTTTTGGCGTGCCAATCCTAGGGATAGGGATACGTTCGAGGCTGGTAGGTGTGTCGTGTCTCGGCAGTGCCTTAGCAGCAGCAGCAGCAGCAGCAGCAGCAGCAGCAGCAGCAGCAGCAGCAGCGGCGGCGGCGGCGGCGGCGGCGGCGGCGGCGGCAGCAGCAGCAGCAGCCGCAGCAGCGGCAGCAGCGAGGGGGATGCCGGCGCGGAGCCGAGGGCGCGCGCGCGCGCGCCGACGCGCGCGGCGCGCACCCCTCCGCGCCCGAGGAGAAGACGATCCGCGGCCTCTACCAGAAGTGCTACGCGAGCAGCTGCGACCAGGACCGGCGGGGCCCCGCGGGAGCCCAGGAGGAGGGGGGGATGGGAGGGAGAGGGGAGGGAGAGGTGGGAGGGGAGAGGGGGGCGAGGGAGGGAGGGGAGGGAGGGGAGAGAAGGGAGAGGAGAGAGAGAGGAGGGAGGGAGGGGAGGGAGAGGAGAGGGAGAGGGAGAGGAGAAGAGAGAGGAGGGAGTGAAGAGGAGGGAAGGGAGAGGGTAGAGGGAGGGTGAGGAGGGAGGGAAGGAGACGGGAGGGGAGGAGGCCTGCTCCCTCGTCCCTGCCTCGCCTCCTCACCCTCCTCCGCGAAGATGCTCGCCCAGTGGCCGTCACATCCCGTTGCGTGCTCGGCCTCGTTGGAGCGGTCTAGTTCTTCTCTGCTTGGGGGGTTGGCGTTGGCGGCCCGATGGCCCCCGCGTATGCAGAAGTTTGCGCGCGGCCGTCGCTGATCGCAGGTTCTGCTACGCTGTCCCTTCGGGGGACATCGTCTGTTCCTATAATTAGTGTTTTCTCTTGCCCCCGACACGGGTTCGATGCGGAATCGACGCGGATTTGGCGTGGATCCTGGGGTTCCGGCACAGCAGAGGGAGAAAGAACCCTCCTACTCCTCTCCTCTCCTCTCTTCTCTGTCCCCCTCCCTCCAGAAAAAAAAAACTCTCCCACTTCTCTCTCCTCTCCTCTCTTTTCTGTCCCCCATCCCTCCCTACCTCCTGCCGCGAGCAACTCCGCCCAGGATCAGCGCCAAGTCGCCCGTAGGGGTCGCCATGAAGCAAGCGACTCCTGAGGGGAACGTGTCCTCCGACGTGTTTCGCAGTTCTTGAGTTCCCGGGGCCCTCCACGGGCCCTGGGACTGTCGGAAGACGACTCGGGTCGAACGGCTGGTTTCGGGGGCGGGCACGGGGTCAAGGACCCGTTTTCCTCAGGACCCGCTTACCTCCTGCCGACTGAACGGATCATGAATCGTGCAGGTGCGGCGCGCAGGGGCCTGAACCACTCGAGCAGCCAGATCACCGAGCAGGTGCACACCAGAGGGAATATCCGTAAGTGTACGCGAGAACTCGCCCGCTAAGCACAAGCCGCTTGCGAACTTATGTATCATGTGTATCGCCTCGGCCAAGGGAGAGTCAGCGTGTCTTCTGTGTAAGGACCCTCGGGCGAGTTGGCGCGCCGACGGGAAAAAAGAGGGAATATCCTGGATATCTGCAGTAGGGCGCCCATCCAGGCCCATGCCAAGAAACACCCTGCTTGCCTCCTGGGTGCCCTGGGTTTCTTGGGCTTCGATGGTTCTGCTATGCAGAGCGCATGGACATTCTCGGGTCTAAGGGTTGGGTTTCTTGTGGAAGGATTCTTGTGGACTGGCCTCCACTGTATCTGCAGCAGGGTGCGGGTCCCCCCTCCGTGTGCCGTAGACGCGCTAACGGCAATGTAGGTAACGGCGATGTAGTGTTCGGCATTGTAGGTGGGACTGGTTCGTGGCCAAACCAATTGTAGGACATCGTGGTTCGTGCTTGCCTACAACTCGCTGCGTCGTTTTCGCTCGATACATTCGCACAATTGAGATGCAGGAAACGGTGTTTCGCGGTTTCCCACATATTGTTCTGCGCGAGCTCGGTGTCACAAACATCATATTCCCATCGCCGCCGTTCACCAACGTCGCCACTGCTGCTGCTGCTGCTGCTGCTGCTCCTCCTCCTCCTCCCCACTCCAACCGGTCCGCCTACGCCGCAGACGACATCTCCTGTCCTCCGCCTCCTCCTCCTCCTCGTCCTCCTCCTCCTCCTCCTCCTCCTCCTCCTCTTTCTCCTTTTCCTCCTCCTCCTCCTCCTCCTCTTCCCCCTCCTGCTCCATCTCAAGTTTCGTAGGGCCCAAGCCTCAGCGCGGCGTCGGCCGCGCTTGACCCACATCCCGCGGCGGCTCGCAGCGCTCTGCACTGTTTGTTTGACGGGGCTTGTATCCACTTCAGCCCAATATGCGTTTCATTTGGTTTGAGGGTAGTACCTGTAAGGGCTCACAAGACGTTGTAAAATCTACGGCCCCCGTAAGATCTTGCGGTTGTTGATGGTTTGGGGACTCCTCCCGGGTGTCCCCCGGAACCCCCCAAAGGTGGCACAAAAACGCCCAGGAGGAGGAGGAGGAGGGAGGCTGACCCGAGACCGCCCCTGCAGGGGCTCCCCTCCGGGACCCCCCCCGGGACCCCTCCCGGGACCCCCCCCGGGACCCCCCCTGGGACCCCCCCCGGGACCCCCCCCGGGACCCCCCCCGGGACCCCCCCAGGGACCTCCCCAGGACCCCTCCCGGGTGTCCCCCGGGACCCCCCCAAGGTGGCAAAAGACTTCCAGGAGCAGGAGGAGGAGGAGGAGGAGGAGGAGGAGGAGGAGGAGGGAGGTCGTATTCTGACCTGGGACCCCCCCGGGACCCCCAGGACCCCCCCCGGACCCCTGCGGGACCCCCTCCCCCCGGCCGGGGAAGGGAACAAAGGGAAGGGGAAACCCTTCGAATCAGTTTACTGTACGCAGGAGGAAGCGATGAAGGAGGAAGAGACGGAGGAGGAAGGAGGAGGAGGAGGAGGAGGCGGAGGAGGAGGAGGAGGAGGAGGAGGAGGAGGAGGCGGAGGAGGAGGAGGAGGAGGAGGAGGAGGAGGAGGAGGGGGAGACGAACGAGAAGGAGACGGGGAAGGTGGCAAAGGGAAGGAGGCACGGACGACAAGAACAACCCTTCCACACGCCGACAGGATCGGCGGATTCTGACCCGGGACCCCCCTGCAGGACTCCCCCCGGGCACCTCCCAGGTGCCCCCCGGGACCCCCCAAGATGGCAAGAGACGTCCAGGAGGAGGAGGAGGAGGAGGAGGAAGGTGGTATTCTGACCCGAGACCGCCCCCGGGCTCCCCCCCGGGCTCCCCCCTGGGACCCCCCCCCGGGACCTCCCCAGGACCCCTTATTTTTTTTCCTAACTTTCCCTTCTATTTTTATTTAAGACCCGGGTGTCCCCCCCCGGGGGGGGGTGGGGTGGGGAGGGGGGGTGGAGCCCCCCCCAAGGACGCAAAAGACGCTCAGGAGGAGGAGGAGGAGGAGGAGGAGGAGGAGGAGGAGGAGGAGGAGGGAGGTGGTATTCTGACCTGGGACCCCTAGTCTGGTCGTCATTTCTTTATTCATTGTTTTGCCGATCGGCGCGAGCCCTCGCACCCCCGCCTCCCTCCCCCATGAAGTAGATCTTGGCTTTTTTGGGAGCGCCTGCTTCGAGCGGGTGGGGTCTCTCCCCCAGAGGCAGCACTCTTGCAAACAGTCGCACTAAGCAGAGATCTGCAGCCAGAGCCCCCCCCTCCCCCCCTTCCTCCCAATGTCGATACGCCGAATAAAACAACGCTCACCTAAACCCCCTTTTGCTTCAAGTCGGGCATGTCCCTCTGCAGGAGGAGTATTCAAAAGTGCAAAACCTAATAATATGAGAACGATTTGTTCTAGTATTATTGAGCATGTTTTAACATGCTCTGCGCACTTTTAATGAACTTTTCGCCCAAGATCCGCCTGTAGGAGGACATGCCCGACCTAACTGTTGCTGTCATATTCCCCATCTTCGCCCGAACCGATCAACGCAGAGCCACGACGAGGCACGAAGAGCCACGTGCCACATGCAATCCGACCTGGACGTTGGGAGCTGCCCCGAGGGCAACCGGCGCATCAAGGGCCTCGGGGGAGGTCCGCGCGCCGTGGGCAGTCGAGGCCCTCCTGAAGCGTTCGGTCGTTCGTGCGCACGCGGGTGCGAGTGCGTGGGGCTCAGCTGTTGCCGGGGACAGGGCGAAAGCACAGGGCGGCATCGCACGAGGTACGCACGGGTATTCTGGAAACCAGGCCAGAGCGACAATTTCAAGGCTTCGTTCAGGCAGGCGCTGCAGCATTGCCCGCACCAGGGAGGGTTGGTTTTCGCCAGATCGCTGGCCGAAGCATACCGGTCATTGTAGGCCGTGTCAGGGGGTAGACAAGCTGCCCAGGGCAGGCGGCGGCCCAGTTGGTTGTTTCAAGATGAGTGGCACGTCCGTGGCCAGTTGGCTCAAGCGCTGCGCCGATGAGCGCCGCGGTTTCCGCGGCGCCATGGCCACGGCGTCGTTCGATGGAGCTTTCTTCGGCGGGCAGTCTGCGGACTTCGTCTTCAAGACGAGCACGCTCCGGCGGAACCTGTACAGGTCAGGGGGCGTGCAGCCGTCCCAGGGCTTCGCGAAGCCCGCGCTGCCGGCTCTGAGGCCAGCACTGGCAGACGCTCCAGGCTTGAGAGGGAGCGGCCACCAGCTGCAGCCGTTTCAGCCCTCCGAGGGAGATCGGGGAGCAAACAATGACATGAGCATAATCACCACCTAGCAAACCACCCCAACCCAACCCGAAGGCCTCAAGTTGCCTTCCATTTCCATTGGGGGGGGGTCGGGGAACATTGTCAAAACACGTGGATCCCGTACCCCCCCTTACCCGAAATTCGGGTCAAATTCGGGTTTTCGGGTTGGGTTGGGGTGGTCTGGTGGGTAGTCACATCACCTTCGGAGGTCCGCGCTGGTTTCCTGGATCGGCGCTGGACCTCGGGGCACCGGAGGCTGCGCCAGTGGGGTTGCATCGCCGATCTGACAGAGCCGTGCGGACCTCCGACGGTTTATGCTTGTGTCATCGTTCGCTCTCCGAGGAGAGCGAGGCCTGGTGCAGCGGCAGAGCCCGAAGCGTGGCCAGAGGGAGTCGCGGCGGCTCCAAGAGAAGAAAGATCTCAGAGGAGGGCGAGTTGAGACAACGATACGGTCGGTTCGTGTCGTGTTGACGCGGCGGCGATCACACCGCGGGCGTTCAAGGTTGAACGCCGCCAGTGGCCCAGAATCTGCCAGAATGGAACGAGTTTGCGATCGAAAGACCGCCGATCGTTCAAGGTTGAACGATCCACGTGGTGTCAAGAACCAACGCCCAGGTCATCTCGATGCGAACCCGCCGTAGTTGGCCTTCGAGGCCCCCTCGTCGCCACGGCTGGTCGCAGCTCGGAAATCTCGTGCGCTTGGACCCCTGGAGGTGTCCCTGAGCTGCCGTTGTCCCAACGTCTTACTCCAAAACTCGGCATAAGCATAGAGTTTCGAAGGACCGCGCGGATGTCTTGGAGCGGCGCTGGCCGCGCGGTGGCGGCATCTCCAGCGCCGATCCTGGCGCGCTCCACGCTCCAGCGCCGTTCCAAGAAGTCCGCGCGGAACGTCGAAGGCCTCTGTTTATGTTGTGTTTGTTCTTCTTCCAGGCTCTGCGAGCGTCAGAAAGACGACTTACTTCTCGACAATCGTCGGGTGTTGCCGAAGATGTCCCTGGCACAAGGGGCCTCCAGGATTCTCGAGGAGGACCACGCGGCCTCCAGAGCGCCCCTCCCGAGGCCCAGTGGGCCCCGGGGGCTCCATAATGGTGCGAAGAGCTGGGGGCACCCGTCATTCATTCGGAGGACGCAGGTTAATCTACTGCGTGTGTGTCTGTGTGTGTGTCTG